GTTTTCAGAGGCCTGCTATTTCAGAAGTGGATGGCCAATCCTTCTTCCTAGTCTGTCTCAATGTGAATGTTCAGATTAAGAGAAGTATTAGACAGACCAGCAAGTTAAAGGTATATCCCTTCTTGCGGAGTTAACTTTAGTGTCAGTGTTGTCCCTGCCTTTCTCACATGCACCTTTACGCTTAAAAGAAAAAAAAGCTTAAAAGAAAAAAAAAGAATATGGCTTCAAGACGTAAATCTACCTCCCATGATATGGTGAAAACAAATGCTAGAGTTGTTAGGTGCTGCTGATCCTGGCCTAACTAACAGGGATCTCATGTATAACAGAGCAAATCCCGGCCGCATCCCACACCATCCCCATATACTCCTCTGTGCCTAAAACCCATCATTTCATGAATCCACCTGAAGTGTCTTTCTACCCTTTTCTGCCCCTCTACTTCCCCAATTATGAATTCTTTTTTCAGGAACTGGCCCTTCCTCATAACATGCCCAAAGTATTTCAGATAAAATCTCAACATCTTTGCTTTTAACGAGTGTACCCTGGCTGTACTTATTTCAAGAGAGAGATGTTTGTCTGGCAGTCCATGGAGAGCTCTGGTGGCCTAGTCCACGGATGGGGATTTGCACTTCCACCCCAAAAGCCGTGCTCTGGTAGTTCAAATCTACCAGCTGTTCCGATGGAGAAGAACAGGTAATTTCCTCTCTATTGGATTTATAGCCTCGGAATTCTGCTGGAGGGTAAGCTATGAGTTGGTTCCAATTCTACAGCAATGATTTTGAGTTTTGGGTTCTGGCAGCTTGGTGTATTCAGTATTTTTCACCAACATCACAATTCAAAGGAATAAACTCTTTTTCAAGTCTTCCTTATTCACTGTCCAACTTTCACATGCATATGAAGCAACAGAAAATACCATGGCTTGGGCTGGATGCACCTTAGTCTTTAAGGTGACATCTATCTTAGCTCTTTGGCACTTCAAAGAAGTCCTTGGTAATACTAGTTGTTTAATTACCCCCCCCCCCCTTTTTTTAACTTTAACAAACAGAAACTTATTCTCTCGCAATTCAGGAACCAGAAATCCAAGTTCAGGACACGAGCTGCAGAGAAAGCCTCCTCCCTGTTGGTTGTGGAGAAAAGTCCTCATTTTCTTCAGCATCTGGAGGCCCTGCATTCTCTGATGACCTCCATGTGTTCTGGCTTTTTTCAGTGTCAAAATAGGGCAGGGGCCCTGTTCTAAAAAGACACTTCACTCATGACCATCACACACTCCATTCTTGGTAATTATTTCTTGGTGGCAATCAGAATCCCCACATTGTTCAATTTCTTAACTGCTGTTTCCAAGGGTGTTGACTGTGGGTCCAAAATGAATGAAATAAAACAATAACAACTCTAATATGTGCTCCACTTATCATGAGGTCACTCAGTGATCCATTTGTGAAGATCTTTATTTTCTCTATGCAGTGTAACCTATACTGAAGGCTGCAGTCTTTGATCTTCATTAAGTGTTTCAGGTCCTCTTCAACAAATTTAAGTAAATAAATAATCCACTCAAGAGACAATTCTATTTCTTTTACATGTGACGGAGCTAGTAATAGGAAAGTACAAACATTTTAAGGTTATGTACAAAAAGGTGACATTCAAATGTACACAGCATCATAGCAACATAGAAAATGCACATTTCTAAAAACATTCTTTTTTTATTTACTTTTTTAAATTAAATTTAATGAAAGTTTACAGAGACTTTGGATTTCCATTCATTCATTGTTGCACTTTTCTCCCTGCCCACTCCTACCCCACAGTTCGCTCTTCTCTTTGAAAAGTAAAAGAAAAATTCTTTTATTGTTATACAATCCCTCCCCCTAAGTCCACTTCACTACGCCATCTTGAAAATATGCATTTTAAAAACAGAATGGGGACAAAGTACATTGATTAGCAGGTGCTGGGAGCTGTGAAGATTAGAAGGGAAAAGGAGTGACAGCTACTAGGTATGGTGCTTCTTTTTGGATAAAAGGTTCTGGACTGTGGTAATGGCTACATAAATCTATAGTATAATTGCATACTTTAAATGAGTGCACTGACTGTATGGTAAATGAATCATATTTCAATAAAACTGTAACCAAAAAAAAGGGAAAAGGGCAAAAAGGTCAGAAGAAAAGAAATGCATCAAAATTTTAGCTATCACTTAGAGCAGTTCCATGTTCTTAAACATATTTAGACTTAACACTTATCACCATTCCAATTAGGAAAAAAACTTAGCTTTATTAAAAAAATTATTTAAAACTACTTACAACCCACAAAGGTGCACGTATCACAGGAGAGAAGCAGGTTACATACCCCACCCAGTTGCTGGATGGCCCCTGTCAAGAAATGGAGATTCTTGCCCGCCGGTAAATCCAAGTAAAAGGACTTTCCAGAAAAGGGCCGCCTCCCAGCACCTGGAGGGCTTTTCTGGCATTTTTCCAGCCAAATGGAAACTCCTTCATGAGCCCCTAGAAAACAATAAAAAGGAGGAAAGAAAGACGCTTGAGTAGAGAAAACACTGCAAGTCACACAGCCCTTACCAACAGCTTCTGCAGCCGAAGCCCAACACACAAAGATAACAGTGAGACTAGTGTTCAACTCTCACTTTCTAGATGGGGAGAAACTAGAACTTCACACTTTGCTGGTAGATTGAAAAATGGGCACAGGATATGACAAGATCAGGCACGTTCAGGGTGGTATGGTGGTAGACAAGGGCACAGGATATGAACAGACACTTCACCAATGACATTCAGATGGCAAACAAACACATGAAGAAATGTTCAAAATCCCTAGCTCTAAAAAAAAAAATCCTTAGCTCTAAGAGATATGCAAATCAAAACAACTATGAAATATCATCTCACCTCAGTAAGAATAGCAAAATTTAATAGAACAGCAAACATCAAACGATGGCGAGGTTGTGAAGAAACTGGAACCCGTATTCACTGTCGGTGGGAGTGTAAAATGGTGTAACCACTATAGAAGGCAGTATGGCACTTTGTCAAAAAGTTGCAAACAGAAATACCAGGGATGCATTCTATCTCCATACTGTTTCAACCTATATGCAGAACAGATTATCCGGGAGGCTGGGCTCTATGAGGAGAAATGTGGGGTCAAGATTGGTGGACGACCCATCGACAAACAAATGGCTAGAGAAGCTGTGGTATATTCGCACAATGGAATACTATGCTGCATTGAAAAACAAGGAACTCATGCAATATTATTCAAAATGGTTGACTCTG